ATGTGGTGTTTTATAGTGTTCATTTGTGCAGGAACAGTAGAGGAAATCACTAACTCGCTCTCAAGAATGAAGGGGTGTCATTTTTAGACTCTAAATCCAGTTTTCTCCCTTTTTCTTTTCTTTTTTTAAAAGCAGGATAATACTGGGACATCAGCGGTGTACCAATAATATCTGGGGGGGGGGGGGGGGAGGAATAAAAGAAATAGGTGATTATTTTTATAGCTATACGTGCTGTCAGCCTGTTAATACTGTAGCGAACATGATCATTAACATGGTAATTAGCCATCAATGCAGTAAAGATGAGTGAAGAGCAACCCACACACTTGAATCACACCCCAGGAATAATTTCTTTTTTGCATTCCAATGCAATTTGTCTCTTGTCAAGTCAAAAAGAGAGAGAAAGATAACTAATGGGGAGAGGTAGGTGCCTTTTTGACCCAATAAAGATCAAAGTGGGGTTGGAACGTAAATTAATAAATTAATTTTCGGATAAAGAACTTGAGTGCAGGCTTTTTTTAAAATTCCTCATTGAAAGTCTCTGCAGCCGTGCACCTTTATCTATGTGCTCTTTCTATAACCTTCATTATTTCATTCAATGATCCAACTATTACCATTTGGTGGTCTCATATGCTGTCTGACTATGAAACAGCTTGGCAAACTGAGCTCCATGGAGCTGAGGATTATAAGCCTACGTCACAAACAGACATAAAGACGGCCCAGACTGACAGTTACTCAGCTCTACACCCCCAGCCATGACTGTATATACTCATTTATGAATGAAATTAATTTGGGAAGTTTTCTAACAGCACTCATTAAACATGTTGAGATATTTTGTTGTTAGAAAATAGTCTTGTAGTTTGTTGCACAGAGTAGAACGTGCTGCTGAAAGTCATCAGCTCCAAAGAAGTACAGGTGCGATTAGCATGAAAAAGTTCAATATTTTGTGTCAATCATTTCAAAAAGTGAAACTCGTATATTATTTAGATTGATTGTACATAGAGTGAAATATTTCAAGACTTTATTTCTTGTAATTGTGATGATTATGGCTTAATGAAAAAACTAAATTTATTGCCTCAGATAATTAGAATATTGTGAAGAGGTTCAGCATCAAAAGTTTTTTACCTGCTAAGGAGACAAAGAACTGGACTGTTGCTCAGTGGTTCAATGTCCTCTTTTCAGGTGAAAGTGCATTTTCATGTCATTTAGAAATCAAGGTCCCAGCGTCTGAAGCACGAGTGGCGAGGCCCAGAATCCACATTACTTGAAGTCCTGTGAGAAGTTTCGACAGTCAGTGATGGTTTGGGTCCATGTCCTCTGCTGGTGTTGGTCCACTGTGTTTTCTGAAGTCCACAGTCAACACAGCATCTACCAGGACATTATAGAGACTTCATGCTTCCTTCTGCTGATGAACTTTATGGAGATGCTGAGTTAATTTTCCAGCAGGACTTGTCTCCAGCCCACACTGACAAAGGAACCAGAAGCTGGCTGTGGAATATTCAAAATGTTTAAGAAACTGAATTTTGATTGTTCATTATTTGTACTGCTTTTTGCACATTATTTGAACTGGTGACTTTCATATGTGTCCCTCTTTATTAAAAAAGCTTAAATAGAAGTGCATTCCCTTAGAAAGTAAAAATTTCCCAAAATACTTTTACTGTAAAATGTTATGGAGAGACTGCAAAGGGCATCCTGTGAGAGCATCACATATATTGGATGAACAAAGAAGGAAGGATTGGTAGTAGGTGTTATTAAAGCTGTCATCAGTGATGTCTCTTCGGTGAATCAAGTCAGGAAGGTTTTTGTCATTTCAACCATATGGAACTTTACATGGTGAGAACAGACAGCGTTCCTTCAGGACCATAGTGCTACTCATAAAACAATATAGACAATATAAATTTTCAAAAATAGACCCGATCGCAAGTCATATATTACATAAGACATATGAAAAACACATGTAGACTTTGCAAAACATTACCAACATGACAAGACAATGCAGACAATCCAGTTGTACTATTTCTTCAGAGTCACATGTAGTAAAATGTGTATTGGAATGTGCAAGCAGAGATCCAGTTTGTTGTTTGGAAAATGGCTGAAATGGATTCAGTTTTTAGTCTAGCTACCAAGTTTTAAAGTCTAAAGGCTTGTGGGAGTGAACTGTGACGCAGTCTGGCACTGAGGGCCCAGGTGTTTTGGTATCTTGTTCCAGACTGCAAGAGGGTATAAAGTTTGTGTGAGGAGTGACTGAGGTCCTCCACAATGCTGGTGACTTTATGGTATGGTATTAGGTGTGATTCAGGTCTGCAATGGAGAGACTTAGGTGATCTTTTAAGCTGTTCTCACTACCCGTGATTGTATTTCAATCTGATACTGTACAGCTTCCATACTGGACACTGATACACCTGCTCAGGGTGCTCTCAATAGTTCAAATGTAGAAAGTGATCAGGACTAATGCAGGAAGATTAGCTTGCCTCAGTTTTCATAAGTAATGAAGCTGCTGTGATTTCTTAGTAGAGGAACAAATGACAAGGGTCCTAGCGAGGTTCTCTCTATCAGGTGAACACCAATAAATTTTGTGTTCTTGACAACCTCAACAAAAAATCTCATGGTTCAATGGAGAACCGTCAGTAGGCTTTTTCCTGAAGTCAATAGCCGTCATTTTGGACGACTTGGTGCCTGTCCATCAGCTGAGGTACTTCCTTTTTGTAATCATTGGTCTTGGTGATTGGACTGATCACCTTGCGTCATTGGCAAATTTGAGCTATGCATTGCTGCACAGCCATGAGTCACCAGAGTGAGAAGAAATGAACAACAATGTGCAACAGGATGGTAATAACTGAGATGTGATGCTGAAGGCTTCTTTTGTGGTGGTCTTGAGGCATGTTTGGGCGACAGCAGTTTTCAGGAAGTTGTTAAAGATATGAGTGAGGACATCAGACAACTGATCTGCACAGTGTTATAACACACTCCAAGGGATCTGAACTAACAGCTTTCTGTGGGTAGATTTTGTGGAGTTAGTGAGATGTCTGTGCACAGCACAAAAGGTACCAAACTACAAATAATTCTAAAAAGTTAAACCCAACTCCACTAAAGCCTATTTGCCTTGCTGCTGTACTGTACTCTGACTTCAGAGCAGAATCTATTACTTGTGACCAACACAATTTTATTTTGTACTTATAAGTTCACACATAGAAATAACTTTTGCCTTTTTTCAGTGCCATAATACTACAGCTATAACTCTAACAAGGTTGAGTCAGGTCCTTTAGACAGGTTCTTTTTTGTTGAAACATTTAGTTTTAACAAAAGTTTTGTTTTATCAAAACTACTTTTTCAGACTGAAGAAGTCTTTTGGATAAAAGAATAAACTTTTCAACAGAATCTGTCCAGAGGACCTAACTCAACCTTGTTAGATGTATCTAGCTGGATTATTGGACTACAGCTATAACTTTAAAAACTAAACTAAGTTCCTTGAGAAATGTAGACTGGGACTGCCACATGCAGCCTTTTAAAAAAAAATTATTTGACAGTACTATTTGTTGTTGGTCATTCCTCTCAGCTACAACCACACCAAATTTCAACTTAATATCTCTAAAAATGATTGAGTTAAAGCCATTTAAATTTAGCTTTGGTGGCCATCTTGAATGTTTTATTTTGATTAATTATTTATTGCTTTCAGCTACCACCACACCAACTTTCAGAAAAATAGCTCTAAAAATCTCTGAGTAATATCCATTTAAAAGTAGCTTTGTTGGCCAAATTTCATTTTTAGATTTGAATTCACAATGTGTTGTGCATCTCTGTCAGCTACCACCACACCAAACTTCAGCTCAGTATTTTTTGAAATAGCTGAGTTAGCATATTTTTTCCCTCCTACCTTAGGTCACCATCTTAAATTTTTTATTTGCATTAATAATGTATAACAACTCGCTCTCAGCTTCAACCATACCAAATGTCATCTCAGTATCTCCAAAACATGACAGTTATAGTCAATTTTGAGTTTCCTGAGTTAGCTGTGTCAGCCATCTTGATCCAAAATGGCTCCAAAGGTTAATCAGTTTTGTTCAGTGACCTCTCTCCTCTAGGTCATGTGACCTCACTGGGTCAGTTAGAAACTTGAGTTCTATCAGTGTTTTCCAATAAAAAATTGGTGTCTTTGTTTGCAAATTATATTGCCATGGTAACTTGAAATGCCAAAGAAAGCAATAACACACATCATGGTGCTCTGCCGGTCATTTTGGTATAACATTTGTGCAGGTACACTTTGGGGTTCGGGCTGCATTAAAGTTGATAGAATAACAAGACCCTCTTCAGGTGGATAATAATAGGTGGCTGCCTTAGTAGGCAGTCCCCTATACATATTTTTAAATTGTGTCTGATGATAAGGACTGAGCTCCTTGTGAACTTCTTGTGAATAAAAATTATGTCAAGTTGGCCTGAAGCTGAGAAAAAGGTCTGTAAACTTCCAGTAAATGGTTGACCTAGCTACTGTACATTTAGCCATCTGGTAGTGTATGATAAAGGTCACATGGAAGTACGATGCTGTTCAATATAAAAAGAAAACATAGAACAGTGTTTCCTCATATAGGTCTCTGTTTGTCACTACATCATTTTTATTAGGTACCAGGACTCCAGCGCTCACAGGTTTGCTGCTTCGGGACTTTCATTACAGCTTTTCATAACCATATACTAAGCTATTATCAGTCACCGCTTCTGCCGTGTGGACAATATTTCATCACACCAGTTGCAACAAGACAAAATGTCTCAGTAGGACAGGCAGATATTGGACTCGTGCTTTTAATACCACCGGGAATAAAACTCTGCCGCATGACATTTCAGATCAAATATGATATTTTTCTTGTTCTTGGAGCAGCACAGATTAAATCACAAGGACTTGTGCTGATAAATATACCACTATTGTTTACTCTGTACACAGAAAAATGAGCAGGATGATCTAGATGTCGCTCCCACTGATCAGGTGTTTATGTGTGTGTGTCTTCTCGCAGGCATACCGTTTTCTAGCCATCAATCAGAAGCTGGGGTTGAGTGGACGTCCAGATAGACCCGTGGGCTGCATTGGGACCTGCAAGGTTTGTCCCTTCGTACGCACCCACCTACACACACGCACCACTTGGATGTAAATGCGTATGCGCAGAATATGTAGCTTTACTGTAGAGGTCATGGCTGCCCGCTAACACACAGCACATATCGATCATGTTTGATCATTGCTCATATTGATCCATACATTTCTCAGAGCTTGAGGCATCTCAAAAACACAGAAAAGAAAAAAGACAGGACATCAAAGTTCATGCTCAATAATCCAGGTAAAAATAATCCAACGTTGTTCAGGCAGGTCATCTGGACGATTTATTTTTTTGTTGAGACGTTTCGTCCTTCATCCAAAGGACTACATCAGTCCAAGGATGAAGGATGATGCGTCTCAACAAAAAAATAAATCATCCAGATGACCTGCCTGAACAACGTTGGATTTTTTTTACCTGGATTATTGAGCATGAACGTTAATGTTTTGAACCACTTTGGCTATGGCTGCCTCAGAGGAGTCAATGGGGAGAGGGCGTGCCCCAGAAACAATCTTATCACCATCAAACTGGTTGATGGGAGTGTGCTGCTTGTGGAACTAAGTTTGTTGTGGCTCCTCGGACTGATGAAGTCCTTTGGATGAATGACGAAACGTCTCGACAGAAAAGGAAACCGTCCAGATGACCTGACTGAACGATGCTGGAAGACGAGACGTCATCAGTTTCAAGTTTTTTTTTCATTGATCTACAGTTTGTATTAATAAATTCTCCTCAGATTTCGTCTGTCCTGGGTTTTAATTATTTTTATTGTTAAATTCCTGTCACACACTCAGACAATTTTAACATTTGTATGCGTGTGTGTTTCCATGTGGCATTGGTGTTCTTCTGTTTTATGGTTTTGTTCAGTTTCTCCCAAATGAAAGTCACAGCGCAGCCTGATAAGTTGAACTGTTGCAGCCCTCTCAAACAAAGGCATTGGCGGGCAAATGAATCATGGCTCCCAACATTACTAAGACAATATTATAATGGAACATTTATGGGGAAAATGGCAAACTGCCAGAGGACATTATCATCATGAGTTTTCTACTAGCTGTGTAAATGTTCTGCGAAATGTATGTGTGAGTTGTCAGAAGTAGTCCTGTGACTTCTCTGTGCCCCCTCCTTTCCAGGGTTGATGGCTTGTTTTATACTCTGTCCAGAATAATGCATTCATGGCTGCTTGTGAGCCATCTGTCATCTAATGCCATTATGTGTGTGCGTGCACGTGTGTGTGTCTCCTAGATTTATCGTATCTTGGGCAAGACGGTGGTGTGCTATCCAATAGTGTTTGATCTAAGCGACTTTTACTTGTCACAAGATGTTATGCTGCTGATTGATGACATTAAGGTAAGCCAAGTTCACATTTTATGTGTTTTAAATGCTTGAGTGAAACAGATATATTTACTTTGAATGGTCCAACAACTTTATTTGTAACAGAATTGATTGATTGGGGTGTGTGTATATGTTGCTCTTGGCCTCTACAGAGGACTCTTAGCACAGCAGAAGTCATAGCCTGGCTATTGTGGCTCTTTCTAAACTTAACCTTTATAGTTTGGACAATTAAATGGCAAACCATACATATATATATTTTTTTTTAAATCCTTAGAGGATGCATGCTAATCCAAAGTATTCCACCTGAATATTTGTGGGCACAGTTTGATCAGATGGCCTACGTATGTTTGGAACTGTATCTTGTGTACATCAGACAGTAGGTGCTCACAGAAATATAGCATAAATAAGGCACTGTGACTGTCTGTCGGTGACAAAATGCATAAGAACAAACGTTCCTCTGAAAATAATAAGGTAATGAGACTGAAAGTGAAAAGAAAAAGTAGCAAATGTTTATTGTTTGAAAAAACCTGTCAAATTATTGCTCAAGATTGTCTTAAAGGTTCATGAAAACTGGTCTTTTTGAAAGTGAAATATAAATAAATAAAAGATGACTCAAGACTTTTGCACATTTCTTTACATTTTATTATGTAATAAACAGTATTTATTCAGTGTAAATGACTTAAAGGCTTTCTAAAGGTTGATTAAAAAAACGATGTTTTCACCCATGTTAATCCATTGATGGATGGATGGATGGATGGATGGATGGATGGATGGATGGATAAAGCACCTTCTTTTAATAGAGATTTAACATGCAAATCAGAGATGGAGAACAATCGTAACATATTAGGAATATAGAAAATTTACAAGAGCCACAGTTTAATAATTTAGTGTGGAGTTCTTTAAAAAGTCAAAATCAAGTTTTAGAAATGGATACAGAACATCTGAACAACAATACCTTATTTTTATTGCCCAAGAAATGGCTTGTTTCAGATTGTTCACAAAATGAATTAAAGCCAAGGGGACAAAAATAATAATTAAGGGGTAAAAAGTCAGTCACTCAGTCAGTCAGTCACTCCGTCGGTCAATCAATCAATCAGTCAGTCAGTCAGTCAGTCAGTCACTCAGTCAGTCACTCAGTCAGTCACTCAGTCAAATCATTCAGTCATTCAGTCAATCAATCAGTCCCAGTCAGTCAGTCACTCAGTCCGTCACTCAGTTAAATCATTCAGTTATTCAGTCAATCAATCAGTCTCAGTCAGTCACTCAGTTAAGTCACTCAGTTAAGTCATTCAGTCAATCAATCAGTCAGTCAGTCACTCAGTCAGTCACTCAGTTAAGTCATTCAGTCAATCAGTCTCAGTCACTCAGTCACCCAGTAAAATCATTCAGTCAATCAATCAGTCTCAGTCAGTCACTCAGTCAAGTCATTCAGTCAATCAATCAGTCTCAGTCAGTCACTCAGTTAAGTCACTCAGTTAAGTCATTCAGTGTCACGATCCTCGAGGTTGGAACCCAAATGCAGGGAGGCGAGGCGAGGCAGGAGTTCAAAAATGAAAATAATTTATTTTTAAATGACAAAACAAAAGGCTGTCGGTGCAGCAAAACCTTACTTTGGCAGACAGGATCAGGAACTAGGCAGAGCAGATCATCAGATGGACAAAAAACTGACAGGACAGAGGAGGACTGAGACATCTGTGAACACAGAACAATCACCGGACAAGGAGTGAAGGAAAGAAAGGCTTTTTATAAGGCAGAGGGAGAGTGAGTAATGAGAGCACCTGGGCAAGTGGCTGATGAGGGACAGGTGTGAATGATAAAGACTGAGGAGTGGAGAGGCAGACTGAGGAGTGAGTGGGAAACAGGACCAGATACACAGAAACAGAAACCACACAAAGAGCAGAGGCTTAGGCAGATGGGGGGGCAGCGGGGGCCGCTGACCGTGACATTCAGTCAATCAATCAGTCTCAGTCAGTCAGTCACTCAGTTAGTCACTCAGTTAAGTCATTCAGTTATTCAATCAATCAATCAGTCTCAGTCAGTCACTCAGTTAAGTCACTCAGTTAAGTCATTCAGTTATTCAGTCAATCAATCAGTCTCAGTCAGTCACTCAGTTAGTCACTCAGTTAAGTCATTCAGTTATTCAGTCAATCAATCAGTCTCAGTCAGTCACTCAGTTAAGTCATTCAGTTAAGTCATTCAGTCAATCAATCAGTCCCAGTCAGTCACTCAGTTAGTCACTCAGTTAAGTCATTCAGTTATTCAGTCAATCAATCAGTCTCAGTCAGTCACTCAGTTAAGTCACTCAGTTAAGTCATTCAGTCAATCAATCAGTCAGTCAGTCACTCAGTCAGTCACTCAGTTAAGTCATTCAGTCAATCAATCAGTCTCAGTCACTCAGTTAGTCACCCAGTCAAATCATTCAGTCAATCAATCAGTCTCAGTCAGTCACTCAGTTAAGTCATTCAGTCAATCAATCAGTCTCAGTCAGTCAGTCACTCAGTTAGTCACTCAGTCAATCAATTAGTCAGTTTCAGTCAGTCAGTCACTCG